ATAGATAGATAGATAGATATAGATGTAAAGACATGCATGTATGACCGTAGATGAACCAGGGATACCCTTAAGTACCCTTAAGGCCCAGACAGACTGCTCGGCTGGCACTCAGGGTTGGATAGCACCCGAAAAAGATGGAATTCCCGTTCCGCTTTGCATCGAAATAACCCCAAAACTTGACAAGCCCTCCACCAAAATCCCACGCCCTTGTCAAGCGCGAAGGAGGGCCCTGCCAGTCCCGGTGTGCAGAACTGCGAGGCAGGTTGCTGCTTTTCTAGGCTATACAGATGATGGGGTTTAAGTAAGGGTTTACCTGTAGCTGCAAGACCTACCAATAGTAGGATTGGGCCCGTAGCTACAGGCAGGGCTTTTCGCCGTAGACGCCATGACAGACCCGGCCTTGTTTCAACCCGTTTCATGGTAGCATACTTCTGTTTTTGCTTTGAAGCCTCAAGACTTCTTGTTAAAGGGCGTCCATAAGGGTTGCTGTTCGGGTTGTGTATTGGGGGCTCTACTATGCTTCAGACCTTCTAAGGGGGGCCTGGGAAGGAGTGCGATGCGCCTGCCATCTGGCACTGCCCCGCTTGTGAAGGCCGCTTGAACCGAAAAGGCATTTTTGTTTCGGAATTTGGCTTTAGATGTTGTTTTAGTGACAAAGGGTTCGTTTAGGCATTCAGGGGTTTCAGAGGTTAATCAGGGGCTTAGAGGTTTAAGGGTTTACGGAGACAGTAGCTGCCATAAAGTTGGAACCTCATTGTGCTCATGCCCTAAACATCCCTAGAGACAAACCAAAGGGAATACCAGAATAATGGGACTGTCCTGGACGTTTGGGATGCTGATTTGTGGTCAGTGAGGCCTTGTAAAGTCATGCATGCAGAATCAGAGCGTTGGGGGTTTAAGTGCTTATTAGGGTTTTTGGTGCCTTCCTTTTTTGGGGTCACTACGCGAACCATGCAAGAAGGCTCTGCCATTGTTGGTTTGTGCACCGGGTAGGAATGCGTATATTTCTAATTCTATACTGTAGCGACATTGGCATCGCCCTATCCCTAAATCCCACAACCCCCAGTTGTAGGATGCGATTGTAGGGTGAACTCTTGACCGTTGCGAAGTCTACATCCCGGCCTACTACTGCGGCCCAACACTCAGAGTACTCCTGCCTTATAAACACAGAAGGATCGTGATCAGAATTCACTTTCCGGGTTGGTGAATTCGGGTCAAACTTGGGCTCTGGGGAAGCCAAGAAACACTCCCAAGCGGCTTGGCGCCACAGACTCAGGATTCAAGTGGCACGAAGTTAACAGTGGACCTTTCCCAGAATCCGATTCAAAACCCAAAGCTTAGGCACCGAAGACCTAAGACTAGAAAGGATCGGGGACTTAGTATAAAGGCCAAAGAGTACCCTCATTAAGGCTATGGCACTATACCGTGCTTCCCAAGTCCCCTGATCCTGCAACACTAGTTGCTGAAACCGGTTCGAACCCTAGAGTCGCATCAAAGCGTTGAAGAAGCACTTATAGGCAGCCTGATGGAGAGAGATCCCGTTAGCTCGTCTAGGGGGGTCCTCATGATAAGGGTTCTACCGCGAAAGTTACAGGGCCCCTCAATAAACCCGAACACAGCCCCTAAACCCAAGCGTGTCACAGGGTAGGCTTGGGACCTGCTTTGGAGAAAGGGCCACTGCGCTGTAAAAATTCCAAGCACATCTCCGCAGGCTCCTTCTGCGGCAGCTGCTTCGACAAGCTCCATGCGCGGGGGCGCCGTGCGGAACACCCGAGCCTCGCTTGGTTTCAGGCTCAAAACCCTTAAGACGATAGTTCCTTTCGAAGGATCGGGGTCTGCCTCAAGTATATATATATATATATATATCTTTTTTTTTATGCAGGCACTGTTAGATTCAAGGGTGTCCGCCCCGGAGTCACACCACCCCGAAGCGGGTCAGGTCCCTCAATCACTGCGATGTCAACCCGGGGATGAAAGAGAGACAGAAGGGAACCTAGGATGCATATAAAGGCCCGAGTAATTACGATTATCGTTCCATAGGGCTCCTTATTACACATGTACTACTGTACCACAGTATACCACATGAAGCCAGTGTTCTCAGAGCTTGGGATTAGGGGCGAGAGGTCTGAGTTATTTTAAAGTGCATCCCACAGACCTTTACAAAATGCTGCGAATAATGGACCGAGCCTGTCAGCAGGCAATACCGCAACATGTAGGGTATCTGATGAGGTCTCGTACTGTACTGAAGCTTTCGTCCGGAAGTTGGTTTGACCACATCAGTTGTGCGTCAGCAGGAGCCCCTGGCACAGGTATGTTCGGAGTAGATTGAGTAGACATGTTCAGTATCCGCAGCAGCCTATGAGACCTGCTTTCAGCCTTTCTGTGCTCAGTACACTGTGCTCCAAAATCGACCCTCCAAGTAATGACCTGATAGTCTTCTTGTGACCGAAGCCTGGTACCACAACCCATCAATTCTTTTGCACATGTCAGTGTGCATGTCACCGAACCTGAGGCGGCTGGACCTGGCATATGCAGGCTCGAACTGGGGTAGATACCTACTAAGTATAGATGCTATAGAGATGGTTTAACCATTAACAGTAGTAGTTTTATCAGGGAAACGTACGACGGTTCTAGCATGATATCATATGGCCTACCAGAACTTAACATAGTATAGCCCAGTATTGCATACTATAATAAGGACAGTAGCCTGCCGCTAGAGGGCTATCTGGGCTTCTGGTGCTAATTCGGATGTAGGCTCTTGTTAGCTCTCGTGTCCGGGGTTGCCGCTATGGGGCCTACCTATAGTGTCCATTGTAGTTCCTTTTTGGGGATACCTTATAAACTCCTTAATATATAATTGGTTAAACCAAAAAAAGGAACTACAATGGAGACTATAGGTAGGGCACAAACTGCGCCTAGGGCTAGAGTTTACAGCTCGGGGTTTGAGTCTTTTCGGGTTCATGTTCCAGGATCTGATGATGAATGTGGTCGTGCACTAACATAGCTCGGGCTTTTCTAGCTGCGGGGCTTACCTTCGTCCTTGCCTGTACGCCGCCTCAAAACCGAACATGAGCCTGAGGCTCTTCTGCAAGCTTCTTTGAACCTTGAAGACCATCAAAGGAGGCATACAGTCACAGTAAGCCCTACACTGCACCCCCTAGTTTCACCCTCCAATGCTGTTCTTCACTTCGAACAGTCTTGAGTTGGGACTATACTACCGACAAGAACAACTACACTGGAGCGTTCAGCTAACACCTATAGAGCCCTCTGGTTCCTCCCCTAACGCAGTAGTACAAGACTCTTTCATTGCTACAAAGCCCGAAACCCTAAACCGTCTCCCTCCCTGGCAGGCTTCAAGATGAAAAGGGACGAGGTTCGAGCTCGGAAGCAGGCTCCGTGTAAGGACAGAGGGTCTTCTGGCTTGGTAGAGTTCAAGCATAGCAAAACCGGCGGTACCACGAATCCCGCGTCACGTGTCCACAAAGTGCCTTGGCAGTTTCACAAGATCCTTCGCTGCACGCCCAAGGTGGTCAACATACGCTGGCATGCCTTCTACGACGCACAGGGCACGACGGGAGGGGATGGGGGCCCTTGTCCCCTCAACCCTCAAGCTTCTGCATATTGATAGTCTGTGTTGGGTGTGCATTCGGCATGGCCGCGGGATGCGGGGTCTGTTGAGTTCATGATTTGGGAGTTTCGGAAAAATATGGGGACCCGTATTTAGTCTCAGGCCCACTTCCACATCTGCCTCAAGCGGAGAAAAGAATGCAAATTTCAAACAACTGTCTCCAAGAGCCGCCCCGAGATCTTGACATTTGTAGCACAATTACAGCAGCACCAGTGCTTCATTGCGACCAGGACAGGCTTAGGTGCGGAACCTCTGGCTTCCAACCCTTAAACACTCAAACCTCAGCTCCCAAATCCTTCCCCCGGCCCAAACCTGTCGGCCTCCGTCCTTATCTCAAATCCCAAATCCGAAGCAGTGACTCCGTAATGAAGCGAGGCCTGAAGTTCTACTACAACTTCGAGTCTCAGCAGTCGCTGCGGAAGCTGTCGGCGAAAGAGCCCCACCGCTCGACCCAGCACACTCTTAGTTTGAAAGGTTTGGGTTTGAGTGATTCAGTTTACCAACATTATGCATAATTAAGGGATTCTTAGCTTGTTGTAATTATGTTGAATTTTTCTGTAATATCTCGCAAACCCTGTTCCAAGTATGAATAGCCTCTTTGTATTACGAGGGTTAGGGTTCTAGGCTTTGCAGTGTAGCACTACGCAGAACTTTTTCAAGGTTCTAGAGCCAGGGCATTCCCGCAACAGTTTGTGTGTAGAGATCTTGCTTGTTAATTGCTGTTGGTGTATGCTTAGCACATTCGTCTGTTCAATGGTCGCAACTCAGTAGCTAGGCTTGTTGATTCGACTGCTGTCGATGTTGCCGTGGCAGAAGCGGCGCATCAGGCAAGCATAGATAGGACAGCCATTGCCGAGACGTCCAGGCTCGCATGGCAGCCACCACCGCCGCTGCCCGTGGGTGCCGATTTGAGCATCGGGGCAAAAAGGGGCGCTGGAGCGTCTTGCGCGAGGGGTGGTCTGCTCGGCTGTTTTGTAAGAGGACACTGGTCCAAGGTAGCAGTCTTCTTTTTGCTTATTGTACATCACGTGACTGAAAGAGAAAGACAGGGGAACATTTGTTGTGGAACGTTTTATTCGTTTTGTATGCAGCAGTATGACCGTATGTCCTCGGGGCTGCGGTGACTCTGGGTTTGTTTCAGGTGAAGGCTAAAAGGGTGCGGAGTTGGGCTCCCCGGCCATCCTGCACCCGAAACATCCTCGGGGTTCGGGGACAGGGCGCTGGTCGAGATGTTGGAGAATTGATGTCGTCGCTTCTTCATGTTCAGGGATGGAGGCCCTAAGTCCGGCGCCCCCCACATCCCCGGAACCCTCAAGTCAAAGCCTAATCCCGATTCCTGGAAGGCGCAAGTTCAGAACTTTGAGGCGCTCTCAGATGGCAGTGGCAGCACTGAGGTCCAGGGTCCATTGTTTGATGCGATTGTGGGCCGGGTTTATAGTATAGGGTTTGGGAGTCAGGGTTTCCGGGCTCGGACTTGAAATTCTGCTTTTTATTGGAGCTGTTGGGTTTGGGAGCTGCAGCATGCGCTGCGTTGCTAGTCACTGCACACTCAACAAGGACGTTTTCAGGGCTCGTTTCGCGGGCTTTTAGGTTCTAGCGTGTATAGGGCTTGGGTCATCGAGTCAAGGGTCGGTTTGTTTTTGTTGGTTCTTCGGTCAAGGTTTTCGCCTTCATGATTTGGGTCAAAGGGTCTGCCCGGGTTCTTAGAAGAGCAGAGTACGAAGAAGTGGTCTGCATTAGAGCCCCCTATAGCAAGGCGCACAGGATGAGGGGCGGTAGTCTGTTGGCCTCCAGCCAAATATCGTCTTGAGTTCGTTTGTGTTGCAGCGCATGCCTTGTGGGGACTTGGGAGCTGCTGGCTTCGAAACGAAAGAAGATCTCGAGCAGTCCTGTTTCGGTGTTTTGGGTTTCTGCACCGCAGCACGTCCTGAGCATGGTAAATAAATTTGCAGCCTGAAGCCCTATACCGAACAGCCGGAGGCCTTCAACCCTTGTGACTTGTAATCCCTAGAATAGAGCCCAGCACCTGCAAGCAGCACAAACCCCTCAACGCTTGAAAGCCCTGTGCCATCGGTGCCAGTCGTGGAAATTCCGGCAGACGGCGGCCAGCATAGAGCTTGTGTTTGGGGCCTCGGTTTTATTTGTCCTGGGACTTGAGATTGAAAGTCCGGCAAAGATGATTGCGATTCAGGCTTGACAAGGGGGCATAAGGATCTGAGTGTTGTAGGGTGGGACACTTGAGATTATCTGAGGATTATAGTTGCAGGGGTCAGGGCTTTCGTGTCCGGAGATTGAAGATCAGGATTTGCGAGCTTCGGGTGCAGGGTGGTAGTGACTAAACGAAGTAGTTCCTCAACGAGAACCCACTAATGCAGGTCGGCTTGCAAGTTGAAGACTGGCTGCGGGGGTGTTCTGCATATTACATACTGAGTACTGTAATATAGGTTAGGATATTATGTCGTATCAGATGGCATAATTGGCATGATGTTGTTTTGTAATACATTGGGTGTTGCTGTGGTATATTTTGATGTAGTCAGCACTATAAGCAGCGTGTAAAGTATAGATGCAGGACTTTGTGCTAAAGGGTCGGGGCTTGGGGCATCGTCGTCCGAAAGGACACCCCCAAATGGTCCTGTGGCTTGTGGCTGTGCATTCTATGCCGGTGGTGTGCGATGCACAAGGACGACATAGCGAGACATGCCAATCAGGGGATACAGCCATATATCTAAGAGCGAGCACTTGCAACATCTCGTAGCAAAAAAGCAGCCAGCAATCACAGCAGTAAGACACGTAGGACCGATTAGAACCATTATCGCCTAGAGCCATAGGCCCAGGGGAACGTTTAGTCCAGATTTTTTGTTCGAAGCTTAAATCCCCGAGCACAGAGCCCCAGGCGCAAGGCTTCCGGGATCACAGGGGTTTCTTGGGCATAAACGTAAACCAGCAGCAATGAAACAAGACAGAAGGCTTCCTACGCATGCCTGATGTGCTGCCATGATCAGCATCGTGCCGACATCAGCTGCCAGTCAGACTTCGAAGGACTACGCATCCTTGCTCGCAGGACTTTGGGGGGGTTCTTCCCGCTGGAACTCACCCTCACCGTGCCTACAGTCACCAGAGCCCCCGAAACCCGTGTAGCGCAAGCACGCGAGACCCCATAGCTCTGAGCCGAAACCGAGATGCGAGAGTCCAAACCGAAACCCAAAACCCGTCTTCCTAAACTTGGTCAGTTGTTTGGATTTTCTTTTTGTGGTTCGGGCTTCCTAAAATTTTGACAAGAGAGCCTCTGAGAGCGCGACGTTTTATTTCCTTAAACAGGGACCCAGTACATCCTAGGCCATCAATTCCAAGCCCTATCTGCCCCAAGTTTCAAACGCCCTCTGATAACTCCGAAACCTCTTCGTCCTAAACGGTTAGCCCCAAATCATGAAAGCCCTGGAAGGAGGCGACTTGGTCGAGCAACTGAAGCAGTGCCTTCTAGGCAAATGCCGCAGCTCAGATGTCAAGGCTCCGGGGAAGTCTGGGGTTTGGGTACGGGTCTCGTCCGTCCTGGAAACTCAAAACACGATCAGGCCCCAAGAGGGGACTTGTAGGCGCTAAACCGTAAGCTAGATCCTGAAGCCCGCAACAAGCCTCCTTGAAAGAAGCAGTATTGCCCTGAATGGTAACGTGCCTCAACGATGCATGGGGAGCAAAACTTACGTTTGGTCCAGCAGACCCTGTTCTTACAGGAGAGCGACACCTTCAGACTTAAGCCCTGTCCCGATGCCTATACCGCCAAAGCCTGAACGACTTTGAGCACTTTTCCTAGACCTGTTTTACCAAAGAAGCCGAAAGGCTCGAAATCGAACCCTGCCTTAGTATTAGTAGACCGTTATCCTGCACCTAAGCGCCCCAAAACCCTCAAGCCCCATACAACCCCTAAGTAACCCCATAATCATCATCCTTTTCCTACTCCCCAAACCAAGATACAAAGCTGCAGCCCTAAAGCCAGAGCCCTATAAACATCATCCCTTTCAAAAGCCCCAATCCCGGATACTGTAGAGCCCTAAATCCAGAGCCCTATAACGCTAGCTCTCTGGAGGCTCTCCTGGAGCTCCGAGCAGATCCGAACAGCAGTTTCCCATACACTTTGGGGCCCAAGGCAAGGAGGGGGCCTTGGGCGCAGGGCTTATAACGCATGCCTTTTCTGGTGGCTTAATTGTTGAGGAGGCAATCCTTTCGGGGTTTTAGGGCCGAGGGCTTAAAGCTGTAAGGGCCCGTTAGGGGCAGAAGGCGTGAGCTGTTCTACACGAAATGGAGCACCTTCTCTCTCCACTTTCTCAGTTCCTTCTTCGAGCAAAGTGTCTGCTTGGTTTAAGGCACATGGGGTTGGTGTTTAACGCTACTGCTTACATGAGGCAAAAAGTTGTTAGGTTGGGGTCCTAAGCCTAAAACCCTAAGCCTTTTCGATGGTTGCTCTCCAACGGGTTGGGGCTTGCCTTATCGACTTCATCACAGAGTATTGCATGCCTTAAGCTGCGATAACCGGCCCTGTTTGGGGTTCAAAAGCTCTACAAAAAAGTAGGTTTGAGTACGTTTACGTCAGGAGTCTTTGATGCCGGCGTCGGCAGGCTTGGGGCTTCTCTGTATAAAGTACTAGGGTGTACTGTGGGCCTAATGCAGGTTTAGTTGGCATCCCCACTTGCACTTCCAAGTCACTTGCTACTCCAAGCAGGGACACCCACCGCCCTAAACTCCACACCCCAGCAGCTTATCCTAAACTACAAAAGCCCAGGCTCTATGTTATAAACCCTCAACTTTAAACACTGCTTATCTCCCTACACCTCGAGGAGTTCATGGGATCGCCTTTGACCTTGGCAGTGAAGCGCGATCTGCCCAACGTTGCTCGGCAGTTGCTGTCCGAAGTGGTGCTGAGGCCTCTTACCGTGTAGACTTTCAAGATGATGTTTTTAGGACCCTGGAAGTGGCAAAGTATGTAGAGCAGGGTGAGGGTGCATGTGGTCTAGCGCTGAAGGATCAGGGCTTCGGTTTTGGGCCCGCTGAAAGGGCATCGCATCACCAGGCCCCAAACCCTCACAACCTACCAAATGTCATGCCCTATCTACAGTATCCTGATCTGGGTGCTGAAACCAACTCCAACGATCTCTTGCGCGTGTGTGCGTGTGTGCCTTTTCACCTGCGGTTTTACGTAGGGTCCTTGAGATGGTTTCATTCGTAGTTCTTGGCCTTTATTCCTACCCCTACACCCAGCATCAATACCCCTGATCCTTCAAGCAGCCGGTTGAGTTGCACATTCTTTTTACTGAGGTGGTCCGCCTGCTCTTTGCATACCAAGCTCATCCAGAGACAGCGTACTCTATGACGGCAGGAGCTGCGATAAAGCCGTGGCTCGGGGTATATTTTGGCACCTGCAGGGTCCCAAAATTTGTGGGCCACGGCCCTAAACACAAAAGGAATTTATGACTGCCCTGCGCATGTGGCAGATTTCCAAAGCTCTTTGGTTATCTTGCTCGTTCTCCTGCAGTGGTTGGCAGGACGCTCCGGTGTGAGATGGACTGGCCCAGCCGTATGCGCTACCATTGCCTCTCGCCATTGTTTGGCGATGTGGTGAAACCTGACGGTCACGAAGGCTACATTTCGAGTTCGGAAGGACGTACCGAAGCATCGTCAGATGACATCGTACACATGTATCTTTTTGACCATCTCGGATTCTGAATTGGCTGGAGAGCTTGCTGTTCGAGACATGTACCGTAAGCCCAAGTAAGACTGGAACTGGGACGCTGACCTGAAACCGACAACCTCAAGCTCGCGGGTTCAGTTGACTATAAGCGGACATAGAAATCCTAAAACCTTAAATTCTTGTGTCATCAACCCAACAAGCCGAAGGCCTTAACATTCCCAAAGCTCTGAAGATTCGAGGCAAGGGGCAATCTGTCGATGATGCGGCTGTTGGTGGACTTTGAAGCCAACCTGAATGGACGGGTGATAAAGTTCAACGGTGAGCCCAATGTAACACTGCTTCTTCGAGGCATATGGTGAGGAGGGGCCTCGTTTTGCTGGACCGATTTCCTGCAACTTGTGATTGCTCGACTCTCATTCCGCCCGATCTGATGCCTCACTAAGGCTTTATGACGCAAGCTACTTCGGCCATGCGCACCTGGTGCGGTACCTGCTGCAGCAGAAGGGCAACCCTGACACCGCCGTCAAGTTTCAGGATCCTGGGTCGAGAGTTTGGCGCTTTAGGGTGCTCGGGGCAAAGGAACCCTAAACCCTAAACCCTACATGATTGCTAGAAATTACTGGAGTGAGGAGAGAAGTCTACAGGGAAATATGCGCAGGGAGGCAGGGCTAAGCGGCTTCTACAGTAAAGTAATGAAAATTGTATGGTGTAACGAAACTGTTGTAGACACCCTGCTTCATTGCCGGGTGTCGATCTGAGGACGACATGACGATCACCAAGACTGCCTTACATATCGCTGCATCTCTGGGACACGAAGAGGTGCGTTTTTGCTTGCGTCAAGTGCCGCAAGGCAACTTAAGAGCTGAAGGTAAGCCATACGTTCCTACAAGCTTGCTGAAAAACTCTACACCTGAAACGTCTAAAACCTGCTACACCCCCCAAAAATTCTATAGGTTCCTCTAAGCTGGAACTCCAGGTGGTTCGGGTTCTCTTGGCGGCAAAAGCACAGATCTCCCATGCTCTGGCCGATGGGGGCGGCCCGCCTGAGCTAAAAGACGCTTCTTGGAGACAAGGAGAGCAACATGGTTCAGGCTTTAGGCGTTTTTTTGGTAGCTGACTTCGTAGACTGTGAACCTCTTTCGGGTCTATTTGACTTCCTTTAACGTGAAGGTGTGTGTGTGTGTCTGGTTTTGGGGTTGCGGAGGTTATGCTGGTCATGAACTTCGGGTTAACGGCTTCTAGTCTGAAATCTGGGGCCTCTGGGGTCGTTGCAGATGAGAGGCTGTGGACGGCTGCCACGTGGAGGTGACTCGGTGCAAGCTTTGGGAGTTTTGGACTTCGGAACTGCAGCGCACCAGCTACTCCCTTACTATACAAGCGCCCATAGTGTCACGTACTTGACTGAGGCAAAGCATGAGTGGGCGTATTGCAGAGATTT